AGCAGCATCGTTGTCAACCACTTTAGATTAATCAAATATGCACAATAATAATATTATAGAATATGCACAATAATAATATGTATATGGTGACACAGTTTCTTAGTACTTGAAAGCAGACAAATTGGCGACTCAAATGCAGCAGACGATACATATATCCGCTGAAATTATGACAGAAATATGTTTACTCACCGGAATATGGCACAATGCTTGAAATGACAGGTGAAATGTCTTACTTACATCTCATCACACTGGATAACTTACTGCTGCTCAAAATTTTGACATATAAACTCCATATTCGTGCAACATTGATGGTTGCTACTCGTAATAAATAAGGGTCACCAATTATGTTAGTACAATTTTTTGAGACAGATCGTTAAATAACTATAACAATTGAATAGAATAAATATTTTGTTTTTGGTTGCTATGGGTTACCAGACTGGCAGAGTTGTAGTAGGCAAGTTGCCACATATCTATTTATCTATAATGTATATTAAACTTTTAATTGTTTAAAAACTGTAGTTTTTAAAAACACTTATATAAATATGTAAAATACGTAAATAACACCTTTTTAACTAATTCTAGATCATGGTATGGTTTGACTTTTCCCCCGACACAGATGCATTTCCGAATCCAAGCCTAATGTAGTTAGGCAGTGACTATTCTTAATATATTTTTGAGTATTTTATGGCAAATTCAGCATTTTATTATTATTTGCATTATTTTTTTATTACGAATATATTCTACACATTATATTACTGAAAGTTTTTGGGGGTGGTGCCAGAAAGGTATTTTGCTCTGGGCGCCAGTTATGCTTGCTACGCTACTGTCAACCAGGCACCTTGCGATGGTTCAGGAAGACACAGGGGCCCGTAATGAAGCTGCTCCATGTGTCTGGATAGCGGCCAATGAGGCAGTTGGCTCTATGTCTACGAGTGCGTGTCGTATGATGTGACGGTCTTCTCGACGACTGGTCTGTCGAGTGCATCCTGAGCCTGGTTGCCATGTAAGTGATGCCTCTGTCCACTGGTTCCACACCTCCTCACAACAAAATCAGAATGGCGTACCTGACGAGCTACTCACTGAGCTGACCACCTAGCTTCCATCATCCCGATGATTCTTCCCCCTCTCGAACTCTAACAGCTGCTGATATTGGCTTTGATGGCGGCACAACGGCATGTCTACCTCAGCCTTTCCTTAGCAAAAGATTAAGTACGCTCAAACAATCACAGATCACAGATCATCAGTTGTATAAGTAGCCTTCAGCCTCAACGGCTTTTGCTACTATATATCAATGCGAAAGTCTTTCATGGGTTCGTAATTTCCTGAGGTTTCGTAGTAAAATCTTCGGTATAACATCATTGGTCCATCTGGAGTCAGTTGCATTAAGGTTCAAAAGTACATAAATTCAAAATTTTCTAGATTAAATAAAAAAGCTTGTAAAAATACACTGTAACTTGCAATAATAACAGAAAAATATAAGCAATAAGAGAAAAATAAAAAATATGTACAAGTCCCAATTTCTATTTTTTTTCTCATTTAGCTGGGATCAAATGCTTGACCTTCTTAGCGCAAAAGGGTAATGGGTCTAACCCGCTCAGCTATGCTTTTCTTGTCAAAATTGTTTAAAACTCTTTAAACAAAGAGTTGAAGTGCCTGTAATGCAAATTCAAGTTTTTCATTCTCACTTTGAACGCTAATGAATTTATGATAGAGATCTCTTTAGTTTAAATATGAAGGATTTGAATTCAAGATTTTGAATATTTGCTATTTTAGTTTTTCTGTTTCTTTAACTTTGTTGCTGGTTATGTTAGCGTAGGATTTTGAGAGTTTCTTCAATCGTTCATTTTCGTTTTCAGTGAATTTCGGGAAATCTTCCTTTGTCGGGATTTTTGCTTATTTTGAAATTTCTTGCTGGGGTGTTCAGAGCAATCGGAGGTAGTGGTTGCATGAAAACCACTGCACAGGATGCATCTTGCTGGGATTTTCTGCTTTACTTTGATGGGACAATGGGAGCTTTGATGATATTCTAAACAACGAACACATTGTGGCATGCTCTCTGTGTGTGACTATATCATTGACACCGAAAGCACTGTACCAGCTCTGGTCTGCTCTCGTAACCAACGATGCGGATTCTCATATCTGCTACGTGAGTGACTTTGAAGACTTCTTTCTTTAGCATTTCTCAGAGTTTCTAAATAAAACACAGGGAGCATGGTTGGGACGCTGTTACGCATACACTGCAATTTAAGTACACTTATTCCTTGACACTTAAGTTCCTCCTTAATTTCTTCTATTGGGGTGTGGATTGTAAAGTCCCTTGATAACTGATTTGAGATTTTTCTCACTAGTGATTAGGAATGTATGAAATGGGATGGGTGCTTTCTCGAAATAATTTTGTATGGTACGGAAATCATCTTCGCTAAAAAGTTGGATCCTGATGTTATCGCCTTCTACTTTACTTTCTAAGTTGGTAACTTTTAAATTTTCTTTTATGTGCTTTCTAAGTTCATGCCAATTTATTTCTTTATCAGAGATGATGAGTGGAGGGATAGATCTTTTTGAATCACGTTCGTATTTTTTATCTAGTAGTTTCTTAGTTTTTCATTTATCTTTTTGCTTTCGTTGGTTTTCATGACATCTTCTTCCATTTTGTCGTCGAGTAATTCCTCATTATTGAGGGAATTGAATTATGAGGTCACACTAAGCGCTTGAGATTCTATAGAGGAGCCGCTATCATGTCTAGATAGTTTTTTTACGCTTAACCATAGTCCACAATCTTGTGTATCAGAATTGCTCGTACTGGGTGGCGGATGAGCGCGAGAATTTTATCCATCGTTTTCTTTAGCATAACAGTCGTCAGAAGCGATTCCTGTGTTTTAAGTTCGGCTTACAATTGTCATCGGATTTCTACGTTTTTGCGTGTAATCGGCATTTTTTAAACTTCAGTAACTGCATTACGGAGTTCTGCAATTCATTGTATAAAAGTATAAATTTCTTTAGGATCAGGAGAAATTGCTTTTGGTTTGTTCAGGCAATTGCTTGCATTATCGATACCGCCTGCTCTATGTTTCGACATATCAGCTGGTTGGTCGCTTATCAAAAGTCATACGTACGAAATGAGAGAACAATCAGGAGCTAAGAAAAAGGTAACCGTCTCCTAGAGCTCAAAAGTTCATATTGTCATGCTATGCTTAAACGAGCTCTGCTTACCTGTTTTATACTCCAAGAAGAACGAAGTTCAATGCCCTCTAGTTGCACTTCTAATCATTTGCATATCCACCCGACATGTACCCTCATGCCAGTTTTGTTACAATCCCATAATTATTTCTTGGTGCACAAATTTTTATGGCAATAAGTGTATTTTTATAACATGTTTCAAATCTACATGTATTTGTGTAGCACTTTTTTGTAATTAAGTTGTTTTTTAAATAGACTTCATGCATAAGAAGAGGCTTACATAAAAATCAATTTTAAGTGTTTATATAAAAATGAAAAGTTCTGAAAATATCTCTTGATCAAATTAATTTACTTTATAGAATACAAATTTAAAGTACGTGTGCTAATGAAAATTTTCAATATTTACATTAAAAATTAAATTCAATATGGTAAATTTCAAAACAGGATTCCAGGCAAAGTCCTACTTTACATTCCTTGCACCCAAATTCTTGTTTTATTTTTTATTTATTTCCCAATTTTTTTTAAGCCAGTTTCAGTTTTTCCTTTTGAACAACAAAGAGCACATTGTGAGTGGGTCTGTTATTTTTTTTTCCAATGGGATTAGGAGGCAAATAATTTGGAAAATGACAAACTGTCAATCTTAGTAAAGTTGAAAGTACAACTAGGTCTTCTATGTGTACCATATGTTCCAAAGTTCAAAATAACCCAAAATAGTTTCATTGTTTATGGTTGATTATGCCTGGATTGTCAAGAAAAAGAAATGAGGCAGGAGCTTGCAGAATATTTTTCAACACTGCTGAACATTTTGCCGGTGGTTATTGAAAATCCCTTTCAGATTCATCACTTATCTGGAGTCTAGAAATAATCTGTTTTGCTATTGCTATCTCCAGAATAACTAAAATCACTGTCAGGATCGACAATAATGCCAACCTCTGACCAAGACATGACTCAAAGTAGTCTAATATTGAAGGAAATGCATTACCGACATTTACACGGGTAAAAAGCAGAATACACTTTTAAATAGAGGGGAAAATTAACTGCAAAAAGTACGGGATGAGCAAAAATTTTTACTTTTATTGTTGCCCATAGAATCTGTAGGGTAAGCACTGAAGAGGTTAAACTACTATAGAAATCTGTTATGATTATGAAGTACACTAACGACAAAATATTACTCCAAGTGTCCAGATTTTAAATATTCAGACTGCTCATCTTCTTTGTAAGACAAGTAAATTTAAGTTTGTTAATTTATTTGTATTTTTCTCATTAAAAAATATATTACAAATCTCTTATGGTAATGCTAATGTTTAAATTTTTTTATTACTTTAAATTGATTAAAATACACATAAAAAAGATAATTTAGCCTTAGTGCTTCCATAAATGAAAAGTAATTACATTTTTTTACACAGAAACAAAATATTTTTTATCGTAAAATAATCTTTTGTATAAAAATAAAATAAATGAAGGAAAAATTCCTTTATTTCCATTAAAGTGAATGCAATCTTAAAAAAATGGCATCATGTTATGCAAATTGGCCAAGATCCTTGTTATATGTCCAGATGTTTGGAATTCTGTTGTACTGTCTATGACTGTGTGCTTTTCTGAAGTACAAAAAATATCAATCAAATGATGCTGACACATACTGAGGCATTAGAATTTATAATATTTCCACATAAAACTGTAAATACAAGCTGGATATTAAAAACTTCATTCTCTCTTTATCTTTATGGAAGTTCCTTACAAGTATATTTGTGTTTGTTTTATACATAAATCCCCTTTGTTAGATTTATTAAATATTTCATGTAATTTTTATTATTTACTTACAGGTATTTATTCAAACTCCCAACATATATGGCACTTGGACATTCTGTTCAACGTATCTGGCACTGGGATAATGCAACACTCATCTTGCACGCTCGCTATACACTTAGTGTAATGTTAGCTACAGCTGCAATGCTGACTTTGGTGCTTACATTTGTCCCAAACCAGGTTATAGCACAGTTGATGAAAGACCCGAAAGGGAAATTTTAAAGATTTATGGCATATCATCCACCCATCAGAGAACTTTTCTGTATGTCATTATCACAACTGTGATTCTTGCACCATATGTATGTGATGTTTCAATTTTTTTTATGCTTTGAATGTTTTAAGTATTTTCTCCAATGTCAAAAATATTTATATGCAAATATATCCATTGAAAACTTGTTTAAGATTTTCCTTGATTTTTTAAGCTTTATGTAATTACTTATTACATGCATTTGCAGTTCTTCAAATGCCTGCATTTATTGTAAATTTGCCATTTTTCCAAAAATTTTATTTATAAAAATTTTTACACATAAATGTCATTTAAACAATATATTTTTTTCTATTAAGTGTATATATATATAAATCTGCATACATGTGTTAAGATTTTCAATTTTTTATTCTGAATAGTTGGAAAATATATATATGTATTAAAATATTTTATTTGCTTTTCAGTGTATTTGTAGAAGTGCCAAATAAAAACAAATGTATGAATAAAAAAATACAATTTTCTATTTATTAACAATCTGATACATATACAGTTTCTTCGGTATTGAAAACTAAATTTTCTATAAATGTAATTTCTTTTATTACTTATGTTTTAAAATTTGGACATGTTTTCATAAAACATTTTTTTTCTCTTTAATTTAAAAACAGCCTAAAGAACACAAACACATTTTACAGCATTTCCATATATATAATTAAAATGCTAGGAATTTCCATTTTAATTATAATACAGCTTGGCTGCAATGTCAGACAAATTAGGCATCGTCATGAATAACAGTTTTGTGGTATAAAAATTCTTAAAAGGAACAAGCTTTAAATAAATACGCTTTCACTTTCTTAAAAAAATTTAAATGCATAATCATGAAAACTAAACATGAATCTACGTAAAATCCCAAATATTAACAAGAAAGTTACAATAACAAATATTTCCAACTAGAGTAAAAATTTTATAATTTCAAAAAAAAAATTTTTTTGGTACTTTGTTATCGGGGGACTAGATTCAGAAAAACATGTACATATATGTGTGTACGTACATACAATTCTGAATCTGATCAGGATAACAGAAAAGTACTTATTTTTAAGAGTTTTGTTCTCTTAAATATTCTTAATGTGTTTCTCTGTTAAAAAATGTTGATCAATTATTTAGATGTACTTTTAAAAAACATTCAAACATAACATCTTACCAAAATTTACATTAGTACACACAGTTAACTAGGTTTCCATATCTACATAAATTATAAATGTTAATTTGATGATAACTTTATTAAAAGCACAGTTATAGAAAAATGCTGTTCATTATAAACTAAAATCTAATGAATTCTTGCCATTCAAACTATTCTTAAATCATATTAAATAGTATGGTGTTAGCATTTACACACATTAGTGAAGATAACAATTCTTAAGAAACTCCATTATTTTATAGTTTGGCACACATTACATTTGAAGTTCAAGAAAGATTTTGTGAGCAACTATTAATTACACTGAAACTAACATTAAATGTGTACCGAATTTTAAATTATAAATGGATGTTTCAAACTTTCAGAACTAAAAATCTTTACATCTGAAATGCAAGTTTACTTTTATGTAGTATTAATAATTAATCATATACTATAAATATGCATAAAATATATACAAAATACTAATTACATTTCAACCATTAATAGGAACAAGAAATAAATGGCACATTAAAACACAAAACTAACTTTCACATTGAATAAAAACTAAGTTTTTACTGGAAAAGAATAACAGACATATTTATATACTTGAAAAACCAAGTGTCGTTTTTATGCTACTGATTGGATACATATGCTTAAGAACAAACATTATCAGAAGTAAAATATTTGGTCTAGCCTTTTAAAAACTGATATAACCGGCATGGCCTTTAAAACTGAAGATTTGCCAATAATTAAAAACAATTCCAGAGGTAAATTTTGAGACAACTAAAAAAGTACAATGGCCATAGCATTTGATATCACTTTTTAAAAGATTAAATTTTATATGCACATTTTATTTTATTCTGAATTAGGAAAAATATAAGAAACATTCCTTTGCGATTTCCTTCTAAATGACTTGTCATCTGGTGAATAAGGCAAAAGTTTGTGAAAGACTAAAAATGCAATAATGCTATAAAAATGGAATATATCACCAAGTTTCAAAACTACCTAAACAGCAATTATGTAGAAGTATGATTAAGCTTTATATTCTTTGAAAGGTAACAATTTTAAAAATCAATCTTTAATACTCTTAAAATAGTAAATCTGCAGATCAGGCTGTGATATTTACATTTAATATTACAAACTTCTATTAAAAGAGAACTTTCTTAATCTAAAAAATAGTAACACTGTTGCTTCGATTAACTTTTCCACCAACCAGCCTACATACTCGACCATCCTTAGATTTTTTCTTCAAAGATTCCGAAGCTCTCTCAAGTTCCCTTAAAAGAAAAAAATAAAAGATTAATATTTTAAAGGTTGCAGAATTTTGTAATGTTTAAAGGAACCTATGGTGTCAATATACACAGCATTTCACATAGTTAATGTAATTCAGTTTTATGCATAAAAATTGCGATTTTGGATATGTACATAATATACCATTTTTACTCGGACATTTTTCCCCTTTGTTTTTTAGTACAAAATTTTCCCCTTCTTCAAGGCCCCCAAGAAAGCAAGATTCCATAAGTTTTAAAATGGGTTCATCCATATAGTGATTGATTGTTTTATTAATCGATTTACTCCACGGTTTTGAATGCATGGGTTCTGATTAATGAAAAAATTATAGGGAATAAGTTTCAATAAAATGGGAGTACCCAGTGTTCATGATGGTTCTCAAGGTCATTACTGATTGGAAGACAAACTGGATGATGACAGAGGCAAAGGACGACAATTTGCAAGCTGTAACAGGCCACACAAACAGCAGTTTCAGTACCATTAAACAATCAGAGGCCTAGAGAGTAACAGTGGACTAGATAAGAAAGAGTGAACAAGGTTCAAGATGCAGGAAGTAGGAATGGAGATATATTGTTGGATATTGGTAATATTACTGTATGTTCTTATTGGAATATAGGCTTCATTTAAATAAATAAATAATATTGCAATAGTTACCTGTAGTTTATCCATGACAACTTGATTCATTTGTTATGTTTTTACTGTAACCATGCCCATCAGAAATTTATTTGCTAATTTTCCCTTCTCAATTTTTGCATGATAAAATTAGTTTAAAAAATATATACAAGTAAATATGGTATGTAAAATTTCAGCCAAAGTAATATATATATATACCTTGAAAGTAATTGATTCTTGAATTTCTCAGCATTTAATTCTTTATTTAATTGCTCTTTAGTTTTACATGCATATGGAACTAAAGTTTCATTCTGTACTAAAGCTGCACTGCTTGGACGCATTTCAGGATCTGGATGTATCATTTGCTGGAAAAAAAAAATAAAAAATTATTCAAACATTCATTCATTGCATAAAATGCAGTGGTATAAAATATCTGCAAAAATATTTACATTGAAATAACAATTAACAATCACTCTCATGATAAAAAAAATTGGCAACTTAAAACTTCCTGTACTGCTGTATTCAGTCAGTCATATGATAAATGATAGTTATGAACATGTTTTTAAAAACTGCTGAGGAAATAAAAGCAATTTTTAAAGCTCCAAAATGTATAACATATAATGTCATTTAAGATGTTAATCATGAATATTTTAAAAAGTTATAGCTCTCTCCCACTTACATACAACTATGTTGCTGTTATTTGAGAAAATGATGCTTTACTGTCATCATTGTCTCTTTCGAGATAATGGATGTCCAAAACTTTTCATTTTGAAATCAGAAATTAGTAATACTTGTACACATTCAACTGATCTGAAGTTTAATCATATGTAATTAGAAAATCCCCCCAAAGTATTATTTGCAGAGGTGATTAAGACAATCGTTTCTTGGAGGGGGAGGATATTTGAGGAATGCATTATGTTGAAAAAAGTAAGATGTACTGCAGCATTTCTTACATGATTACTAAACTGTTACGATAGTTTCTTGTGCATTTCAAAGTATACCACCAATAGTTTCCTTCACATTGATAATAAAAGTATACTGCCATTTTCACTTTTTCCTTTTTACAGCAATTGAATAGTTCCAGTTGTACAACTAAAATATTTTGTCATTTCTTGGTTTTCTTGCATTCCTCCAGCTTTTCATTTTCCATTTCACCGTCTCTCACATTTGTGCATATAATAAAGGATTATACAAGTAATATCAGTCATATTGCTCAAATAATCCTTTCAGAAGTCTTGCAAAATTTGTGGAAATATTCCAGAACAAAATTTGATAATGTTTTATGCCTATTATCAGTTTATATATAACTTAAATATTTACAAAAATAAATTCAAGGAGCAACTATAAAATAAAAGCTATCTATTTTAAGATTCTATCATCTGTAAAACAGCCTTTGCTTTTAAATTGATAGATAACTTCATGAAAATATTTGCTAAATATATCTTCATAAATTTTGCATTTGAACTTTTCATGTTGAACTAATAAATGTATAATGAAAATTTTACTTCACAGAACCCATGTACAAAGTTAAAATTTTTATTCTCACAGAACTCTCCCAGCCAAGGTATGGCAACTGTTTACATAAAATTCTTTACCTTTCTAAGTACAATGGCCAGGATCAATATTTAATTAATAAAAGTCTGCAATTCACTTTATTAAAACATTCTATGTATTTCTCATGTAATGAGGAAAGAGGGAGGAAGTCTAAAAAATATTTCTTTAGAGGATTATAAATTACAAATACAATAAGTGTTATAATTACTAATATATTTAGATTTATAACATTTCACTAACTGCACAAAAAATATTTGCATTGTGTGTTTGTGTATACATGCATTATAATTTTCAGATTAACCTTATCAAGTTATATCAACTGAATCAATAAACTTCACATAAAGAATTAATAATTTATCTTCATAGTTATAAGCATAATTTGCATAAAGATTAATATTCATCTTCAAAAGGATTTAGAAGGTGGTAAATTTGAAGTACCTTTCAAATCTGAAAGTAAAACCTACCTTAATAAGTTCATTTAAATCTTTGGAATAATATGATAAATAACATAATTTTCCTTCTCTAATTGCATGCCACTCTTCGCCATTCTTAGGTAATGGCCCACCTCCACACTAAAATAATAATAAAATATTAATTTTATTACTTGTATAATATGTTAAAAATACAAAACTCAACACTAAAAGCAAATAGTGCGACAGGAAAAAATGTAAAAAACGTACTCTGAACATTTACAATAGTTTAAAAATGTACAGAGATCTTATATCACTATTTTTCACTTTCTTTTTTAAGACTAACTTTATGTTTTGTAAATTTGAAGGAAAGCTTTTAATTATTTTAGCAAATTTTTTTATACATATGTTATTTAGATTTCACGTCTTCAAAAATGCTGTGTGGTGTTTGTTTTTCAGAAACTAAAATGCATTTGCCAGCTAAAAAGAGTGGACAATGTAATTTACAATAGTGCTTTCATTCCATACCTATCAATTGAATTACAAACTGCCTGTATATAATTTAAATAACCACTGCACTCTGCCGAGCATGATTCTAGAAATTTTGTTCCCATGTTTTAAATGAAAAGAGAACCATTACTGAAACCTGTAATATGAATGTCATCATGAGTTTTACGAGTAAAATTGATTTCATAACTAATTAAATACAAAAATCATAATGGCTTTAAATTTGGGCAGGTAACTATCCTTTATAGGAGTTAGCTATCAAATTTGCTATTATAAATTTTGTTTAGTAAGATATGATATTCACTATGCTATATGAAATTCTGAGTGTGTATTACAATACTAAGTTTAATATATGGATTACAAAGTATGAAATCATGCTAGAATAAGACAAAGTTTAAAAATAAATAAATGGTATATTAAAAACCAAATTGATCTTTGAAAAATTAAAGATACATTAGTTCTGAAAATTTTCACATCAGTAATGATATCCATGACTTATTAAACTTACAAAAAATGTTTTATAAAAATAAAATATATTCTTATAACTAAGAAAATAAGCATATTTGTTTGTTTATAACATACTCTTAAATACCAGACTGATTTGCTAGGAAAAATTATTTTAGGGTAAGAGAGAATGAAAAAAAAAAAAAGTTTTTCTTAATATAATGTTTACATTTGTCCATAATGACTGATATTTTATCTAAATATTAATTGGCAAATGCTAGTTTAAATTTACCCTTACGTAAATGTTTAATTCTGAATTACAATAAATGCAACTTAATGTGATCACATTTGGCCAGGTCTTTTTAATAATGTTGGGCGATGAGAAAAATATCAATGCAATTTAACGAAAATGGAACACATAAATACTAACCTTCACAACATTTTAATTAGAGAAAAGTTATTAACATTTTATTGTCTGCAATTGCTATGCAAAGGTTTTTTTTATGAACTGTTTCATACTCATGTTTCCAGAAATTACTTTACAGGTGTTGTACAGCTAATTTTAATACTTGTATGCATCCCTCATCAATTGCAGGAAATTCACCAATTCAATCACCTTATTCAGGAAGCTCATAACATGATGCACTTGGATTTGTTTCAGAAAGCAACTGGGATATATCTTCTCATGACACCAATGCTGCAACTTGAGAGTTTTTCATGAATATATACCCAAGCATTAAATTCTTCACAATTTGTTTTTATTAGAGATATTGCTTTCAGTTCTTCTTTTCATCATTTATTAAGATTGCAACGCTTAAAACAATTTTTTATTACCTGAAATGTAATTCCAACAGACATTAGGAAATGCAATGCATTTAGAAGGCTAGTTTTCCTTGATAATTTATTTGCACTTTTATCTGTACCATCTATGTTACAAAGGACTCTTAACGCTCATTTTGTGGTAATAATGTTCTTTCATCATTATAATTATCCCTTAATCCCATGGCTGTCGCACTTGCTGGCAAAGATACAACTTCCATATGTTTAAGAGCAGCATATATGTTAAGTGCTGTGTAGTTCATAATAGGAAAAAAGATATTCTTCAGTTTATTATCCTAGTTCAAAAGACATTCATTAAAAATTAGTGACATCATCCATGCCTTTGAATTATAGTCCTATTAAACTCTTTACTCCTTTAAAGTACTGGAGAGACTTTGTCTCCCCCCTCCCAAACATGCATATTGATGCAGCATAAAGTAGTTGCATGATCTTTGTTATTTTACATCCATAGCTGCCAGCTTAAAATGTAAGCCGTTTTTTTTGGGGGGAGAGAAAACTGGGAGAAACTGAAAGATTTTCATGCTAAATGGCAATGCCATTAAGAGCTTTTGACTGAAATTCACTTTATAATGCATGACTCAAGCTATTGAAATATTTGTAATACAACTCTGATGTAAAATATATTAGTACTTAATTAGATATCCTAAATTTTATGTTCTTTGACTAATTTTTATCTTGTTATTTTCTTACACTTTTTTATTGAGAAAACTCAGTATGGGGAATAAAAGCTTTTATTTATCGAAGTATTTTTAAATAAAATTTAATAATTAATGTACATAATATTTATTTGGATAAACTTAGATCATGATGCTGTATGAAATCTGAAAAGACAATGTTAAACTACTCCTGTGGCCAGTGTCATTCCATTAGTCTCAGCTGCAATGTTAAGGGAAGCTGCAACAATTTTCACTGTGCTAACTAACAGTCTGTGATGCTGCAGACACTGTCACACTGTCCATACAAATACTTGTCATCCTCCACATGAGCCACTCATGGTATGTTTTGTGGCTATATAATCCAGCAAGGCTAAGAGGACAACATGTATGTATTCTCAGGTGTTAGTAACCCTGAGCTGCCGAGATCTTGCACCACATTCAGTACAGCCCTCCTGAACCCACCAATTCCATTTTCGTCCGGCCAGTCCAACCAACATGAGCAGCAATTTTACAAAATGATAAAAAATGCAGTCCTGATAGGCCACAGAATTCTGGTTTCTGGTTCAGTTGATTTCTGACACTTGCTCATTGGAGTTTCTTCCACTTACACGAGACATAATGTAACCTTTACTCTAACAAATGATATTTTCAAATAAGAAACAAGCTGCACAGTCCTCCCATTTATACACTATACAAATGGCATTACACATACCTGATTTATGCACATGTGCTGGAATTGCACATTTCCGTAACTTAAACCATTCCTTCATGACATGTCTCTGTCATTTCATAATTTTTGCGCTCTGTTTCAAACTTGCCTGGCAGTTTTACTTCAGTTTAAAAAAAATAACATTCTATAGTATTTTGATAACACACTGACTTGTTGGTGACAATAAGTAATGTATTTTTCATGATTTTGTATACAAACAGGAGAGACTTTGGCAGTTCAACAATATCCAAATGATGATATTAACAATGATCACATTAAGCAGTGCCTACCATAATATATAAATATTTATATTGATATTATTTTTAATAAGGCAAAGATACAATAAAATGAATTTACCACTTCATAAATAGTTAGTCCCAATGCAAAAATATCAGCTTTTGGTAACCATGAATAATTATCTTGTAAAAGTTCTGTTGGTATGTATCTGCAATCACCTTCTTCAACTTCAGGATTTGCAAGGGATGTCACATGTCCTAAATCCCCTACAGAAAAAATGCAAAATGTGAATTTTTTATAATGGCAATTAATGTAATCAATAATTAACTACAGTGGTTTGCATTTGTTTTTGCACACTTGTATTTTACGATTTTATCTGCAAGTACGAGTTCTAAATATTAGCGAAATGACTATTTTTCTTACACATATGCTAATGGTAATGTTAAGCCTACTTGTTTTGAAAAACATTATTCAAAATGTTTCTGATGGGGGGGGGAGAATGCAAATAGTTCAGAAAATGAACTCACATAAGTATTCAAACACTTTGAACAAGTTTATATTTAATAAGAACATGGAAATAAGGACACATTTAAACTTTCATTAGATTAGATTTACCTAAAATTACACTTTACACCCATGTATTCAACTAATTTTCTCGTGTAAGAATGCTCTATTTTGTTCCATTCTCCCATAAAAATTGCTTTTAGAAGAGTTTTTAGAGAAATATTATGTTTCCTTAGTCTTTTCTCCAACTCACTCCATATATGTGTGTGTGATAGTATTTCAGTTAGAAAATATAGAGGAGTTTTGATAACTTCAGGACAGATGTATAAAAAACACAAGCAAATGTTTACAACTGTATGTTTAGAATCATTATCCTGATAGAACTTGAATGTATTTTGTGTTCTAAGTTTTCTTGCAGATGCTCTCATGTTTGCATTAAAAATAGCTGTATATTTATACTGATGAATATTATTTTCTATTAAAATTAAATTTCTCATCTCAGAGGGAGTGAAACATCTCCAAACATTTATGCCTCCACTACTACATCCTTAACATAAGACTCGGTTCAGTTTTTCATTGGGCTTTCACCACACAGTAATTCCATAAGACTCAAATATATTAAATTTTGAATTGTCTGCAAATATAACATTATTCCAGTAAGATAAGTCTTTACTTATTTGGATTTTGTGAGCACCAGGCATATTTTCCTTGCTTCATTATCAACAGAGAATTTTCTTCTTGCTGACCACGCAATTTATCTATATGCCCTAATGACTCTTCTAATAGTTTCAGAATGAACTTTTGTTACAAACCTGTCTTTTAAATGTGCTGCAAGTTTTTCAACACTAATTTGTGGGTCTTGTTTAATTTTTCATAAGATAATTTTGAATTCTTGCAGTTAGCTTGGAATGTGGTCCAAACATCATAGCATTTAACAGTTCCACGCAAATTCTATAGTTTTCATACATCAAAGTTAATTAAGCACTTTGCATCAAAGATTTTTTTAACACTTTTGCCATCTCTAAAATGACAATTAAATTTTCAACAGAATTTGTAGTTAATATGTAGCATCTTTCGATGTTCATATCAGATATGTAACTATTAATATATAATAATTTCCAAATGCAGACAATAGTTCTTTTGATGTTTTCTCGTTTAAAATAAAAAATTATCAAAAGACACATTGTATGCCAAAACATTTCAGCGAAAATTTGAGTCCGAATTATTATTTTGAGTTACTAATAAACACTTTTTGAATAAATCATTTTATTGCAAGGAATACTTTTGTGATATTTATTTTGCAACAAAGCTTAAAATAAAGAAAAAATAATACATTAGAAAAAATTTGATGTTACAAAATTTAGCAAAATATCAATGCAAATAAATTTGAAAAATACATGTGTCTGCAAACAAATGTGAGCAACTACAGTCAAAAGTCGTTAATCCGGACTCGTCGGGACTTCAGCGATTCCGGATTATAGATCATCAGTTTAAATCTCGTAAGATGGCATGCAGAAATTCTAAAATTAAAAGTATGAAACCGTAATTTATGAAATAAAGAACAATTATGATCTAAAGGGTATCAAAATTTGCAAAAAGAAAATAGCTTAGTATTTATTTGTTTACTTTATTAAACATTTCTTTCAATGTAAGTTGTTTAAGTTTTTGCTTCGTTTCATATGATATACTTTCTCTTTCTTTAATTCTATTAAACAGACATAATTTCTTGTTCAGTTACAAAGTTCCACAGTTCAAGTCCTATAATTGCTGTGTCGAGAATACTGACTAATTTGTCAATCGAAATTTTTTCGTTTTCAATAACCTCTGTCACTTTCTTCGCTATCAGAAGCGAATTATAATGACGAGGAACTTGTTTTAAATCATATCAAAGACGGAGCACATCCATCGAGATGAAATATTTGATAAGGAATTATAAGCCAAATAAAATAAAAACATCTGCCCTGAAGATAAGGATAGTGCTGACAGATCAACTTCCAATTCATTACGCGCCTGCCGCGGCGTTCCCCCCGCCGAGCAGCGTGAAATTGATAAACAGATTTCGGATTTCAAAACATACTTTTGCTTTAGATCCTTTACATATTAACAAATATATATCGGAAATTCTATTTGATATAATCGAAAGTTTAAACTTACTTTTATAAAATTGCTCTTACAGTCTGCAAAAGTAATAAGCTGGATCCAATTCGGAAATTAAGGAACAACGCAATCATCAACATTAACTGAAATAGATAATTATTTAGCTTATACGTCCATTATACATAAAACGTGCACGCGAAAACGTATTCTGCACTTGCGCACACTCATATGCGCAGTCGTAAAAGGTCTTATGCGCATGTGTCAACGCGGCGCATGCGCAGAAAGTTTTTAATTTTGAGGTCCGGATTATAGATCATTCCGAATTATGGGTGTCCGAATTAACGACTTTTGACTGTATATGGAAATAGAAACAGTAATATTACTTAATTTAATAAAATTATTTTAAATACAATAAAATAATTATTCGGTTTAATATAGCACCCTCTTGTGAGAGGAGTCAAATTTAGTTGAGTTGGTTGGTGAAGAAGGTATGCAGCAGACCTATGGTGCGTTCGTTCATTCCATTTTGTCTGTGCTAATGGAGCACCTAACTTGTAACCTTGTACATTATGTAAATAATTAAATATTTGTGTGGCCTAACTTACTTAGTTTTATTTTGGAACCAGCGCCAATTATCTCTCGTAACTCATCGCATTTTATATCAAACAATAATAAAACATGTAAACTATTACAAACATATATTTCTGCACATAAACTTGTAGAAAAAAAAGTTGGATTCCATCTTTATTTCACACAGTAGGTCGATTTAGTTATGGTAACGCATGCAATAAACACCTAACATATTTTTTTCTGGAGGATTTTAAAAAATAACTATATGTGACAATAAATAAATAATAAAACCCCATTTAGCCAACCCACTAACCACCATATCTTGAATGATGAGATAGTTATCAAAAGCTAAGAGTCATTGCGGCCTAATTCCATGCAATTTAAAATAAGTAATCTAAAAGCCCTCTCACTATTGGTGGCAACGAAAAAAAGGATATCCAAATTTTATATCTTTTGAAGTGTTTGTTCTCAATCAAAAATTGGATACAGATAATTCCTTTTCACTTTTAAATTACTTAAATAAACCAGCCCACTCACCCAGTGAGTGGAAAGCAAACCTAGATAAATTATCAGTGTTCTAATCATAAAAGAATTAAAAAGTTTATGAGAGATGTTTTAAATTATACCAAGAAATAGAAAATATATACAAAGAACTGAACAAATGTAAAAGGACGTATATATACCAGACAAACAAAAAAAGACTAAGAACTTTAATATATAGTATCTTGTGATTTTATTCCAGTTTATGAAATTAAATTCTTATGAAACAAGTTTCATGTCTCCTAGACCAATGAATTAAATGGGGAAAAAAAAAAAAAAGATATGCTCTAGAGTAATATACAATACTAGACAGATAATATCCATAAAGTTCTAACAAGAACTTCAGGCTACACAGAATACTATAGCTTAAAAAATGAAGTTATATTGAACTAAAGTGGATATACACCAGAAACTGAGATTTTAAACTCAGATGTGCAAATATTAAAATAGTAGCCATTCATGCAGAAATTTTCATTTTCTTATCGAAATGGAGAAAAACTAACAAATCACAGATGTTTAAATTTTTACATATACATGTAGAGTAAAGTTTACTTAATTCATTTTAAGAAATAATTAAAAACCGACAATATTCGAAAAATATGGCAACTTGTATCTCATTTACAATGTACATTATTTTGTTGAAAATTCAAATACAGAAACTGTTTAACTCAACTGTATTCAGTGCAAGATTTAAAGTTCAAGCATTAAACATGATTTTACTCACGATTACTTTTGCAACCATTCTTAGAGCGCAGAAAAATAAATCCAAAGTAATATAAGTGAATATAATACAAACAAAATTTATCCTTTAGAAGATTTTAACTATGCTTAAACTATGGAAGTACATGATTTGTATCTCTGTCAAGCAAAATATCTGTTGCCTGAATTCTGGTTACTAAAACTATACTTTGATGTAAAAACAAGAAATTGTATTCATCAAATATCTTTTTTCTAACATAACTAAGAATCTTATCATAATTCAGAAATATTTGCTCCTTACTTATTATCGGCACCATTGTTCCACTGTAAATTTGCACAAAAAGGTTCATGGGAGAAAGCAGTAAGTCAGCCAAATAGTTAAGCAGCAATTCAAAATGTTCTCAAAAAGTATTTATATGGCAACCAGATATGGTACAAGTCTGTTTTGACAGGCTTGCAACGCCAAAGTTATGTAAAGCCAAGTTTGTACAATTCTCTTATTTTTTTAAAATGAAAACAGATCACTAAATATTTTGCAGAACAACAGCAAAAAAGAAGCATTCTTGAAAAAATGAAGTGTTTCATTACCAATATGTCCAGTTTTATTTCTTCATTGCTTTTGTAAGGAATTTTTTAGTGCGCTATTATGGCAAGTGAATGGTGTGCCAATACCATTTTGAAAATGGCTGTTGCCTTCTCGGCATTAGCACAGCAAAACAATTGCCAGGGAATTTGCGACTTTTTGGTAGGGGTCAAGATCAAATATTTTTTAGATCATCTAGTATTTAAACAGAAATCATTCAAAATTTACCAATTTTATATGTCACTCCTTCATCACCAAATTCATCTTCCACAAAACCATCATCAGAATTTGGGGATCCATTATTAAGTTTAACTTTCCTAGTAATAAAAATATTGCCTAAAACAAAACAAAAAACGTTAGACATGAGAAATTATAGATGGACAATAATATCATACTTCAGTTTTCCATTAATTTGAAACACATGTATATATATAATAAATAAATAATTTAAAAGAAAAGAAAGAAGCAGAATCAATCCTTTTACTAATATGGTTACAAAAATTTTAAATATGCTACTGATAAGAAAGATTAATTGCTTAAGTAAATTTAATTATACATGCACATTTCATTTCTTTGTCTTCATAGTTTTAATATTTAGATACTACAGTAGTGAAACTTATAGATCGCTATTGTAAAAGTGATTTATAAGCTTCTATTACAATGCATTTTTAATAAAAATATGTACATTGATTAATAAAATAATTTAGCAACCCTCCCCCTTCCCTAAAGTCACATAAATTTTATTTCATTAGTTAACATCTATGCTAATTAATTATAATTAACACATATTGGAAATAACATTTAATCTTTTATATCCCTTTGATCGTAAAAATTTGCTAACTTCGAACATGAAAGTTGGTGGAGTTCTTGCCACAGCTATGCCAATAGTTCCTGTGGAATTCTAAACCACAGTTCTACCTGAAACTCTAACAAATAAACATTCATCAGTATATATACTTAATCTACCAAACAACTAATGATTTGAAAGTATTCAAACTGATACATTATGAGTACAAACTTCCTGCAGGTGATTGCTCTAATCTATTACTGTTTTTACCTATTACTGCCATTCCCAGCTGTTTGTTCTCCCATTCAACACATGTTAATTCTGTTGATCAGCTGCAAATGAGCTGGAATGCAGTTACTGATGTGATTCTAAAGCTCTCAAACTGATTTTTCTCAAAATTAAAAGAAAGAGGGGAGAATAACAGTTAATTTATATTCTTGTTTATAAAAATAAAGGTGGCTAATCGAGAATCAATAGCAGTTGCATCAAACAAAATTGCTTGTGATGCCACACTTATGCACAATTGGTGCTAAACCTTGCTACCTGGCAAAAGCTTCCCCATCTGTGGGATAATATGTAATTATTGATTTTTATTTATCATCTACATAGAATATTATGCAATGATTACTTCATAAAATCATAGCAGCAAAAACAACCACTTCATTTAAAAAAAAAGTATATTTAAATCCTTATGAACATAAAAATGTGTACATTTATTTTGCTTCCATGTAGAATAAAATAACTACACATATCTCAGTTACAAATCAACAAAGCAGTATGGAAGAAATATTTTTGATAACTGTCATACATCACATTCCATTTATAGCTTTAGACTGAACTCATTCTATCTGCATCTAATAACTGCATCTAAATAACTTTTTTAAGAAATTTATATTTACTATTATACTTAGTTTATAAACTTATTACTTAGTTTATAAAAAGAAACATAGTTATAACTAGCAGCTACAAAATTTTACCATATGCCAGTTTATTATTTAGTAAGCAGTAAATAAATTTTATTTAAACCTCTGATTGTGGGTAAAAACATTCATAAAAATGGAAAATTTAATTCAAATGTAATCATAAACAGACCACAAAATAGGGCTACCTCATTAATGGAGTGCAAAATTTAAACACCAATATAATAAAAACATTCCCTTACATACACTCAGGATAAATAGTGAAAGTACTATTCGCAGATCCTGTGGCCAGAAGGATTTCCTAATGGAAGCTACCTGATATCAGGGTTTGTACACATTTCTGCATATGGAAATTAAGGACTTTCAAGGACCATTAATGAAAAAAATTAAGGACCTATGAGCAAATGAGAACTGAATAAATTCAATTAAAAATATTATCTATGCCTGAATTTCTCTTTTGTAATACCATTCTAAAAATAAAATAGATGTATGACACATTATTATTAAACATGAATTAACATTGAAAGTTTGAAATTAATTAAAGTTTGAGAATAAAATAAACTTTATGCAATTTACAAGTAGCATTAAATATTTTACACTTATAATAGTTGGACATATTTGAAAGAAGATAAGTGACATTTATATTTTACTAACAGTTAGCTTTATGTAGATTTTTTTTTTATGTCTCATTTGTCACATACTTGTTCAGTCTAGAGGTTTAGTAAATAGCAGGTAGATTTTATGTCAAGCATCATAGGTTAAAATAAGAAGTAAGAACATTATCAGCATGATTCATAACAAAAGACTGAATGTTGTCACCACTGTTGCTTGTCTAGAGAAAGACCTGCTGATTAAAACAAACCTGAAAGGCCTGTTGTAGGCACAGTTGGCAAGTTTTGAAAGTGTTGTTGTTACAAATTTGTAACAACAACACTCAACAAAATATTTATGCATCATTTTAAATTTGAAGCTTTCCCAGACATTTTGACAAATTTTTATAGATTTACTTCTCTTTAAGCATCTTTTCTAACAATCAGAAATTTGTCTCAATACGCAAACCAATATACCTATGAGGGTTTACTTGATCTGGTAAAAGTTAAATACAGTCAAAAGTCGTTAATCCGGACACCCATAATCCGGAATGATCTATAATCTGGACCTCAAAGCCACAAACCTTCTGCGCATGTGTCAACGCATGATGCATTCACACATGCACATAGACGTTTACGCATGTGCATAATACGTTACGCATACGCGTTTAATGTATAACGAACGGTATAAGCTAAGCTAAAATTATCTAATTATCTATTTCAGTTAATATTGCAGATTGCGTTTTTTCTTAATCTTCGAATTGGATCCGGCTTATTATTTTTTGCAGACTGTTAGAGCAATTCTATAAAAGTAAGCTTGAACTTTCGATTATGTCAAATAGAATTTCCGATGCGCTTCCTGCCAAAGTGGAAGCATGTTTCGATGTCCATCAAACAAAGTGGAATTGTTGCAAAAAATGGATAAAGGCATATCCTTTGTTTCTCTAACCGTTCCGAAATCTGTTTATCAATTTCACGCTGCTCTGCGTGGTGGTGGCGGGGGGCGCGGCGCACAATGAACTAGAAGTTGATCTGTCAGCACTATCCTTATCTTCACGGCAGATGTTTTTATTTTATTCGACTTATAATTCCTTACTAAATGTAGTATTTCATCTCGATGTATTCCGTCTTTGATATGATTTAAATCAAATTACTCGTCATTATAAATATCACGTACACATCAAATAGTTTTCTGGTTGCAATTTTCCAATTTCGCCTATGCATAATGTATGCTTTACGCATGCGCGCATTGAAAGAAATGTTTAATAAAGTAAATAAATAAATATTAAGCTTTTTTTTTTTTTAATTTTTATATCCTTTAGATCGTAATTGCTTTTTATTTCATAAATTACGGTTTCATATTTTTTATTTTATTATTTCTGCATGCCATCTTACCAGATTTAAACTGATGATCAATAATCCGGAATCGCTGAAGTCCCGAAGACACGGAATCACCGTGTTCGGATTAAAGACGTTTGACTGTATTTCCAAACCCCCCCAACAGACGTGAAGCAAATTATTGCTATGTCTGAAAGTAACTATAATATCAGACAAAGGCTTAAATAAGCCTCTTATTTAAAAAGAATTTAAAACATAAAGGCATGTTCTGATACTAACAAAATCAATTACAGCTCATGGTGATGTTATTAAATAAGAACAGTTAAATTCAAACTTTTAGTGGTCAAAGATTATACAATTTAATTTTAATTTAAGCTGGCTTAGTAACTCTATCATATGAGGAAATAAAAACAGGAAATTCTAGTGAAGGCTGAAATCATGAACAATTGGGTAATTTACATAATAACTGTACATATCTTTCTTTTACAAACTTTCTGCACATGCGTCAACACATAATACGGTGACGCATGCACGTAATACCTTTGCGCATTCGCATAATAGATTTACGCATGTGCGTTTAATGTATAACGGACGGTATAAGCTAAGCTAAAATTATCTAATTATTTATTTCAGTTAATTTTGCAGATTGCGTCGTTCCTTAATCTTCGAATTGGATCTGGCTTATTATTTTTTGCAGACTGTTAGAGCAATTTTATAAAAGTAAGCTTGAACTTTCGATTATGTCAAATAGAATTTCCGATGCTGGAGCTGCCAAAGGATCTATAAAGCGAAAGTACATTTCGATGTCCATCAAACGAAAAGTAGAATTGATGCAAAAAATGGATAAAGGCATACCCTTCGCTTCACTAACCATTCCGAAATCTGTTTATTAATTTCACGCTGCTCTGAGGGGGGGGCGTCGCCACGCGCAATGAACTGGAAGTTGATCTGTCAGCACTATCCTTATCTTCACAGCAGATGTTTTTATTTTATTCGGCTTATAACTCCTTACTAAATGTAGTATTTCATCTCGTACAGAAAGTATTATCACATAAAACGAAGCAACTTAAACAACTTACATTGAAGGAAATGTTTAATAAAGTAAACAAATAAATATTAAGATTTTTTTTTTTTTTTGTAAATTTTGATACCCTTTAGATCATAATTGTTCTTTATTTCATAAATTACGGTTTCATAATTTAATTTTATAATTTCTGCATGCCATCTTACTAGATTTAAACTGATGATCTATAATCTGGAAAAATCGATAATCCGGAATCGCAGAAGTCCCGACGAGTCCGGATTTAAGACTTTTGACTCTAAAAGGAAGATAAATATGTTAAGAAAAAGATTCTAGTATCAGAAGTAAAACATTCAAATATTATGTTTTCATTGTTCTTCCAGACCTTCTCCTAAAAGTAAGAAATTCATTACAAACTTTGTGTAAAATACGTCCATTACGTGTTAATAATATGGAGACGTTTTTTATTTTGTCACATATCTCTAGAATTTTCTAGAATTGTGGGTCTATAAATTTTGCCTTCAAATTCTTTTAAGCTTTCGAAGCTCCAATGTCTAAAATTCTAAAGAAAAATTACCCTACCAATTCTGTAATAGCAAAAAGCCAGAAATGTTTTGGAAAAAAAGAAAGGGAGAGAAAAAGTGTAAAAATAATTTTCTAGAGAAAACTGATGCATATTCTGAATATTCTGATACGATTACACGGGAAAAACTCTTCTATGAAAAAATTTTAACAAAGACATTTTTAATTTAACTATATAGCTAATTTTGCTTTTGCTAAGAACTGTTTTGTAAATTGTGCTTAATACATACATTTTCTATACATTATACCTTTTTTATTTTTCAGACTCAAAATGATGTTTTACAAGTTGCAAAAATAAAACTTTATAATATGACAGCAAAAAATAAAAATGTTTTATTTTAATGTTATTTTTAAGTATAATTTCAATATATTACTATCATTTTAGTGAAATTTATCAACGTTACAATGTTTTAAAAACAACTGTTGAAAAATTCCCAGATCTCGGAATTAAAAACTTTTTATAGAAACTGATCTTAAAACTGTCAAAATGTTGATAAGTCGCCAAATTCAGAAGCGTTTAATAAAGGCGAAAAGTTGTTTAAGAGCTGTTCTTAGAAAAAATTAATTCCGAAATGCTTATGTTTCACTTCTTGCTTAGAAACTCCAGTACCCCACCATTTATATTAAAAAATAGGAACAAATTATAACCTATGAACCCTTTCAAAAGATAACCATATATGTCAGTGAATCGCCAAATATATTCCTCCAAAATGATAATTTGCACTCAAAATGGCAGTTGTAAAAACAGACAGACATTTTTTATGATTAAAATTAAGGACCTTCTGTTAATTTTGGCCAAAATTAAGGATTTTTAAGGATCAAAAATCTATTCCAGAAAACTTAAGGACTTTTAAGGACTCTTAAGGACCGTACGAACCCTGCTTATTTACATTACCCAAGATGAAAATTTAGAAAACATGGAATGCAGTTTAACTGGAAAACCTTAGTAGTTAGGCACATTATGCAAATTTGTAATCACATCATAAAAGCGAAAATATACAATTATCTAATTTTAGAATATTAGAAGTAATACAAGAATACAATTATTTAATTTTACAATATTAGAAGTAATATATATATATTCAAGAAACATTGAAAATCAATATTTCAAATATTTGTGATAATATTAAGAGCTGCAATGTACAAATCAAATTCTAACATACCTGGTTTTATATCCATATGAGCTAAGTTTAAACTGTGAATGTAACGTAAACCTAATGCAATATGTAGAAGTATCTGCTTGACGTCAGACTCTGAAAAACGTATCCGCTGTTTCGACTTTTCTTCAATTGCTTGGGCCAAACTCCCACCTAAAATATTTGTGTAAAACAATTTTAAATTCTTTAAAACATTTGATTTAACTATCCATAATTTTGTTATAAATTTTAAAAAACTGTTTTCAACGTGCAGTCAATTGATTTAATGATATCCTCAGTTGAATAATTATTTTCACTGGTCATAAAAACAACTGAAAGAATTATTATTTAAAGATAATAGTTTTTTTCTTTAAATAATGTTTTTGTTGTGTGTATCATTAAACCAAACGGTACTTTTCCATTACACAACATATAACCTAAAGAAATAGTATATTTCTCGCACAGAAGCAAACAAATTATAAATAATCGATAAACATCATAACTCATTATTTTGTGGCAGTAACATCGATAATAACCGAGAAACATCATTATTTTGTGGGGGGTCGCCCTTTTTTTTCTTTTAATTGGCTTTAAGTTCCTCATTATAATGACGTTTCTTTTCCATCTCCCAAATAACGAAGCAGATTATATAGCATATTTTCAACAATGTGGAATTATCCCTTCAGAATGAAAATGTTCTAATCTGCATAATATGATTTTATCTAATGAAGAAAATAGGGTAAGGTGGCGATGTCACAAGTGCAAGAAATAAATTGGAATTGGGAAGGACAACTGGTTCGAGAATTATCGACTCCTCTTCACAACAGCCATAAGATTTATTTATTTATGGTTGATGGAAAAGAACTTCTGATGTCGCACACAAATGTTGTCAATTGGAACAATCACCTTAGAAAAATTTGTATCGAAGACGCTTTGGACCAGGAACGGAGGAAGATAGGAGGACTAGTCCAAATCGTCAAAATAAACAAGTCTATTGACCAACAGGAAAAATAACGCTGGGCGTATTTTTTTGCCACAATGGCTTTTTGACGGAATTTGCCGTGATACATAGGATACATTCCTTGTTGCCATTCCGAATAGAGGCGCAGAGTGTCTGCTAAAATATGTCAAAGAAAATGTAAAGGAAGGCTCTTGTTGGAGAGTTTACAAAACTGACAAACTCGAAAGAGCAGGCTTTTTTCATTTCTAAGTAAATCACAAGTTCAACTTCATGGATCTAGAAACCGAGGTTCATATGCAGGCGATAGAGCGCCTATGAGGTCCGCCAAAAAAAGGAACAAGCTACATCACGGTACCGCCAGACAACATTTGCCATCATATTTGGCAGAGTTCGTGTGTAGAAAAAACAGAAAGTGAACAGAAAAGATTCACTCGACTTGATCATCGAAGTGATTGATCATCGACTTGGTCATTGAAGCAGTTTCCGCCAGAAATTTACATTGCTGTTTAAATAAATATGTTTTTGTCAATAAATGATAATTATTTAGTTTATAAAATGTAAATAAGATGATTGTACTATTTTTTTAGTAGTTTCTGATGACAGTAATTACAATTTGTTTCTTTCCCGTTACAACGATTATCGTAAGAGGGTATAATGGAAAACTACCAAACAAACTGAATAACTGATATGTACAAATAAACATTTTAATACTTTTTTAGCACATGTTATACTTAAATCAAGTTAAAAAATTCTGCAGTTTAATTTATTGTTGAGAGAAGATACAAGCTGGCATATTTCATTTTTCAACTGTTTGTAGCAAGAGATTCATATCTTCCATAAGTTTACATTATACCTGATATTGCTCAATGAGCTTCTTATAGCAAAATACCTGACTGAAGTGTAACAACATATTTTGCAAATAACTGTTTGTGATAACACACTTGAATTGGTGTCTTTTGTTTTTCGATTGTTTGTGATGGAAGATGCAAATTTGCACCTTTCATTATTTGACTGCTTGTGATGAGAGATACCAATTCATGTAGTAACTGGTAAAATAAATAAAGTTCAAGAAATATTTGAGTTCTATAAAAAGCTGTGATAACAAACTTTATATTATATATGTTTCCTGTTATTACTCTATGAGCTTCTTATGGCAAAATACCTAACTGATGTATAACAACATATTTTTTGGGGAAAAAAAAATTAGAAGGGGAAAATAAACAAATACAAAAAGGAAATGCTGTGTGATGCAAACAAAGGAAGACGAGACAGGAGACGCGTGGCATATTCGCAAATTCTGTATGGTACCTCTTTAGTAAGAAAATTGTTTTCCAGCATACCACACCAAAAACTATTACTAAGAAATTATTAAATGTACTTATTACTTTTTTTTTTATAAAATATTACACTTTTTTATTCATACAGCCTAATACGTGGGAATTAAGGCCACATGATTTTTTAAATTATACAACTGAACACTGAATCACAAAAGCCTCCAGTCATGAACAAATTTTCCAAATGAAAAATATGTTGGATGGTGAATGATGTCTTGAGATACAAACAAGTAAGTTGGCAGCTAACGATACCCCAAAATTCAGTAATGCAGTGGAGGAAATGTCTTCTGAAGATGGAAGGAAAGATGTTCCTAGCTATTTGATCTGTGAAATTTATACAAGATGAGTTAAGGTACAAAGGTTCATAAAACATTACCATGATAATGCACTCGTTTGCAACAACAATGCCATGGCTTGCTTTACGAAGATTTTGAAATAAAACAACAGAAACAAATCACAGTGGGCAAAATTTTGATGCAACAAAGGCTAGGCAATTCTTTAGGCTAGCAGTGTAAAGAGAAAAAGAAAATAACAAGAAAAAACGTCAGAAAGACAGCAGCTACCTTCTTTCATTGTGTCCTACTTACGCTGTCAGCTTTCCTTTGTTGAGTTAGAGTAAAATTAAAGTTTTCCTTTTTTTATATATGTTTAATATTGTGTTAAATATTACATCTGTATTAGATTAATTAATTCCATTGATTCTGCATTATGAAAGGCATACAAAGACAAACATACTTTCATGCATTATGAAAGGCATACAAAGACAAACATACTTTCATACATTATGAAAGACATACGAAAACTTACATACAAAGACTCTTTTCTAAGCAATCATTTGAGAAATGGAAAAGGATTAATCTACTTTACATTAGTTCTCGTGGAAAAATTGTTTTAGTTTATGAATATTTCGGAGGGTGAACTATCTTTACGAACAAATTAAGTTTGTGAACCAAGGTGAAACTGTATTATCAGAAATGTGTTAAGAATAATTTTCAGTAATCCTTTAATGATTATTTACTTAGCAATACATTTTTATGTTTTCCGACGATGTTCAGTTCCTATCATTATTTTAAATTCACTTATTCTTTAATGACCACTTCATTGAAACCGTATTACATGAGTGTATCCGGAAAAACTTAAAAATTTATGAAATGATACATAGCTAAGTTTTTAAATTAAATAGAACGTTTTGTAGAAGAACTCTGCATTCTATTGATCCAACACACAACATATGGGCAATTTACTGTGCTTATTAATGGGTAACAGATAAAATGATTTGTTCATTAAATAAAAACTTATATGAAACCTGTATATATGTGTGTGTGTGTGCGTGTAGACTTGGAGTAAGCGGCAACAGACTGATGATTGTCCATCGTTCTCTGCATTATATCCTGGAGAGATTTTACTGTGTAGTTAGAAACATGGCACTCAAAGGAAAGACCTGTACACAGACGGGGTCGAATTGAACATAACTTTCATTGGTGGATGTAAACCAATTATCAAAACATCTTGTTCATCACACATGATCTTGGGCAAAATACGCACCCCACAATTTGATATAAAGAGTATCACATTTTAGATAACGGTACAGTTAGTAGCAATTGTCTAAAATGTGATAAGAAAGCAAAAAGAGAGAAGTATCATCTTGACTTCAGGAGAGCTGAAGCTAATAGACTGCCCAGTTATCCAGTATGAAGGCTCACCAAGAGAAGGTTTTGGTTTAGATTAGAAATATTTCAGTTCTCAAAATTTTGAGTTCAGGTTCTGAGTTAACTATATCATCAGCGTTATGTAACCCATGCAAGATGGACTAATCTAGAAATTACACAGTTCAGAAAAGTTACGATTTTTAGAATAGAGAGGGAGATTTACAGGGTTAATTTTGATTTACATATTTTTTTATCTTACATATATATTATAATAGTATGCTCACTCAGGAAAAGCAATGTTAGAAACATAAAAAATATTATATTTCCATATCTTGCTTTTCATACTTACTTTTTATAAAGCAATAAAGTGTACTGTTTTATATAAATTTTTAATTTAAAATAGATTATTATGTAAACTACTTCATTAATTTAGAGCATTAAATATTTTTCTCCTTGCAAATTTTATGTCATTTTACAATTAAAATTTCAAGAGTTTACAAGAAGTCATTTCCAGTTCAAAATATAAAAAAATTAACAAAACACAAGAAACATACCATTGCAATATTCATTCTGTATTAACATATGATCATTTTCAGCCCATGCAGAATAGTACCTCACAACATGTTTGTGATGACCTAAAACAGCATGGGCATACACTTCATTCAGAGCAGTTCGTCTGTAAAATTAAAAAAAAAAAAAAAAAAAGAAAAAAGAAAATGTCACATTAAAGATACAGTTTGAATTTAAGAAAAACAATTCTTTAATTAAAAAAGAGAAAAACTACATGTTTAATGAACATAAAGACACTACAGATTTAATAAATGTTCTTTTTTATTGAATAATATTGATAAAAAAAGATATATTCTGTATCATAATCTATGATGAAATTTAAAATTTAAAGATTACCAAATTAAATAAAGGCTCAAAAATGATACAGAGAGCCAACAAATTAATTATTAAGAAGGTCTGTTACATTTATGATTAAATTAATGGCTGCAATACAAGTAAACTGTTATTCTGTACATAAATTCCAAAAATTTTACCTCAAAAATAAAAATAACTACTTTCTATCTGAAATATTTCATTAAAAATACAGCTGCCATCTTCTTCTAGCCCTTTATCGTATTTGGTACCAACTTAGAAGATTTATAAATTTCCTTCATCTGTTTAAATTTTGAAAATAATTACTATCACCAAATTGAAAGATCAGCTGTTGAATGCACTTTAGATCTATTCTTGCTGACATTTATATGTACCATTGTGAATTTAAATTATTGAAAATATTAAATTTCTCAGTTTGGGTCTGCTATGTTTATAGTACCTTTGCTCTGTTTGAGAACAGACCCACCAGGAGCCGAGCGGTAAAATCGTTGAACACTGGTAATTCGGTCCGAGGTTCAAATCCCACAAACGGGCTAGCTGCATGGGCATTTTCGTGGTTTTTCCCATTTGAAACATTTATACGAGCCAGTTTTCCTTAGAAAATCTTCCACGAAGGCATCCCCCCTTTAGCCAGATAGCCCTAGTGTGCTTTGCCGTATTCTCAATACACCAAACTGTTTGAGAACAAACAATAAAGGAAGAAAAATTTCCTTAATCAAAAATTCAATTGACTCTGCTATTCATTTCAATTTCAAATGAAACAGTCCCCCTCCATTTCTCAAAATTTTAATCATATGAAATTAACCTAATTTTAGCACTATTATGCACTGTAAGCCTTTCCTAGTTTGGCCTCCCTGAATTCCAAATTCTCTCATTCAATTAAGAAAAAGCCTGCTTTTTTTTATTCTTTCATTTTCATGCATTCAAAGTTTGTTCAACTAGTTCCCCTGTTAATCAGAAACTTAACTAATCAAAATTATTAAAAGCTCATCATCCAATATTATTGAAAGCAGTTCAAAAAATGTTCATCTCATCATAAGAATTTTTTTTTTTTCCCCTGCATTCTGAATGATCATAAGAATTTCATAGATATTCAGTTCTCTTCTTCAGCTAGCTATGAAATTGCACCTATTTTAAATAGACTTAATTTTGTGTTACCGCTTCTATCTACTAACAAAATCCACATTAGATCTTTAAGCACCTTACCTCGGAAAACACTCCTAGGACAACAGCAGTATGTCTAGCCAGTGTGGCTTAGTAAAATAGTCAAACAAGACAAACCTTAACATTTCATATCAGAATTGTGGCTTGTTAAGAGCAAATAACAAATGCATTAGGTAAACTCAGTTAAAAGCTTATCAGATTCAAACGCATTTGAGGCTTTCTAAATTTAATTTTTACTTGAGCTGATATTAATTTGAAAAATAAACATTAAGTTCTCTGTTAGAATCTGTAATAAGGGAATGTCAGAGTTGTAATAAAGTCTAAAAAATTTGAAGTAAATAACAAGCATTTAAAATTTATTAGAAATACAGTTAATGAGTCATGCAACTTTTCATTCAATCCCTCAATGAAATGGATTCGGTGAAAAATCAATCAAGAAACTGGATATTTATAAATAAAACAGTCTGTCTTTTCAGTTATTTATTCTCATCTTTGCTGGCAACTGGCAACTGGTGAATTTAAAATTGTCTGCATAAATCTTAGCAATATGTTGCAAAATATTTTCAGTAATAATAGAAGAGATATGCACTAAAAGATCATAATAGTAAGAAGAAAAAAAAAACATACTCATCAGAAGTTCCTTTCAGAGGTTTTCTGGACTTTTTAATTGCATAAATACAACCATCTAGCCTATTGATGCACTTAAATACACTGCCAAATTCACCAGAGCCAATCTGTTCCACCTCAAGAAATTCAGTTTCATAACGAGAGGCACTTCTTCCTCGTATGTGAAGGCGCTACAAAATATCCACAATTAATCAAAATTTCTCAGTCAGCAATACACTATAAGCTGAAAGTTTAAAGTGTATGTTGTGCATACATAAAGTTGTTTAAGGTAGTTACCTACCTTAGGTGGGTGTATCTCTTTCTCAACATCATGCTCACAATATGAGTCTTCAACTGAATCATTGAATGAAATCCTAAATAAGAAAAGATAAAATTATGCATTTTAATTCATTTATATCTCATTATTTACATTATTTATTTAAAGTGAAACAAAACGCTTCTTCTGAAATAAGATTACATTATAATGTAAATGCACTTTGACAGCCATCCCACTTTCTCCAGAAAGACGCTAAAATGTTTAATTTTATATACACTTTCCAGCAAATAAATATTATTATTTCATTCACACAAAAAACAAATACAGACCCCGTTAACCGGATGATTTTTCTAGCAATCATATTGCTTAGAAAGAAAGAATTTTCGTCAATGAATACCATCCGTATTTAATTCTGTAAGCAACAGCGCCGATTCGTAACTTGGCAGTAGCAGCAACAGCAGTCAGCTGAGATCGAACCCAAACAAACACAAAATCGAACCGGATATAAGAGGGTCGGAGAAGAAAGCAAAATGGGGAAAACAGCGCAAATAATAGAAGACAGCTGATGATTCCCTTACAACATTTTAAATGTCCCGCGCGTGCCGCTAGGCTCCAATGGGCTGATCCCCAACGTTTCGCATTGTCTTTTTTTTTTTTTTTCCCCTTCTTTCCTTTCCAAATTCACCTTTGCCAAGCAGACTGAAGAAAAAGCCATCCAGGTGAGCGATTCGCGCAGTTTTCGAAGAGTCGTTATAAAAACACATCTGCTACCGATCGCGGCACGCGCGGAGACAAGATGGCACGCGCCGGAACACAATTAATTGTGCCCTTTCTATACCCAAAGTATAAGGCAAAACCGTTCATGCTCTGTAGAAGATGAATGCAAAACAGGAGGGGAGCTACCCTTCCTCTGAAATTCAGCATATGGATTAGAATTATACTCCACGCGTGCGAGCAATTGTAATAACTTGTCCAAGATGAATTTCCGGTTGAAATTTTAAAGTCTGGTACTTAATTCTAATGGTGCTCAAATTAACGTAACAGCTAGCATTCCACAAAAAATACCCTTTTGCTACTTTTAGCACTTCATCGATCATTTTATTTAGCCTATTTTCTATTAGGTTAAGACTGTTGCAGCATTAAGAGATAATAACAATTCAACAGTACTATTACATATTTCAAGAATACTATTACGCAACCTATTTTAAATTCACTTAACGTTTTGGAAAAAATAGTTCTTTCTTTTGTCTGTACGTACAGACGTCACGCAAAAAAATTGTTAAAATGCATTCAAGAACGATCAAAATGGATATTTTCGTTGAAATAAGATACGCGGAATTTTTCGCGATTACAGTAATTCCTTTACTTCGTACAAGGAGGTTAAACAAAAAAAATTGGGAAGGCGACTTTTGTACAAATAAAACCTGACTTCATTAGAAAAGCGCAACAATCGGATCAGAAACTTAGAAAAAAGGATAATAGTTTTCAACAGCAGAAAATATAAAAAAATTATTTGTTTCGCTCTTAATTTTCCTTTGCATTACCCGTACTGGATCCAAACCCGATGTTTTAAAAAATAAGCTTTGATAGTAAACCAAATTTAATGTTTGACACCTTTTAAAATTTCATTATTAAAAAGTCTATAACCACCTTGCATGATTCAAGCCAACAATCGACTTTTATTACCTTTTCAGTAATTCAGAAGCTCTTTTACCGTATTTTATCCGTATTAGGCCAAAACCAGTTAATGAGATTAGCAATTTAATTTCACTGAAACACGGCAACCACTTTTCTTCCGTACTGAATATCACAAATAATCATATTCTCTATAACGACAATCTCCAGACAGGGAATAGGACTATTTACCGCCGCCGCTCCGCGGTCATGCCATCTCGGCTTTGGGCTAGTTGGCCGTCGGGTCAGTTTCCCGCCAAGACCTATTTTTCTTCACATGCTTATATCTTACCGTATTATATTAAGTTTGCTTAGTTTAATAATTTTGTTTGCCTTTGGCTGCCTTGAATTTTAAAAGACTAAAGCTTTTGTAATTAAACATTTCTTCTAGAATTACTAAAATATTATCTAGAACTACTTTTTCCCCCCTCTCCAGGCAAAGAGTTAATTATTATTCACAATTAGAGGGTTTCGTTAATCAATATAATCATGCAAAATTCAATGCAATTATCAATAAAAAGTTGTTTTTTTAATTAAAGGCGAGTAAAAAGAATACACAGATTTAAAAAGAAAGAAAAAAAGCTATCATCAGAAATACTAGAAAGAAAAATGAACAGTTATAGAACTCTTTATGGGGGGGATTCTTCGATATGGCATCCATACTCTTAATGAGTCTTGAGTGCTGAGGCATAATTAATTAGTCAACTACCAATATCATAATTAACGGTACCGGCTGCCGTATCACGGCAAGGGTTCAAATCTCGAAGACATGGGTGTCTGTAGCTATCTATCCCCTTTCTTGTGGATGTAATGTCGGACTAACCCCTGTGATGCACCACTGACTCAGAGATGAGATGGTTAAATGACCGAAGAGATCGTCCGTTGCTAACGTATGCTTAACAAGTGTCAGACCACTGGTGGGAAGAAGGTATTATCTAACTTTCCTTAAATTAAATAAAGACAAAAAATAAGTTGGTATTCTACGTTCAAGTGAATTTATTACAAAGAATTAAAAAATAAATAGTAGTTTCCTGCAATCAGTCATTCAAATGCTCTAAGATTTAATTTAACTGAGAAGTCTTAGAAATAAAATGCCATTTCCTGTAAAATACGTCAGCTTTATAACTTTCATGTAAAGAGTCACGTGTAGCATGATACAAGTACTCCACGTTGTCACAATCTATCGACATACTCTCCACGTTTAAAGAGCCAACCAACTTTCTTACATCCTCCAGCTGTTCCTAGAGAACCGTTGACAAAGCCAGTAGTTGCTCCTGATATCAACATGTTGCTGTCCTAAGAATCGAAAACGGCTGCAGCTGATACCTGCTGTTGTGATGGCTTTCGCCCCCCTCCCAATTTAAAGTTTTCAGGGGCAAAATAAGCTCCAAAATTCATCTAAAGCAAATAGAAAGGGGGGAAAACAGATGTAGAAACACAGCGCTTGCATCTGCATCCGGAAATTTTGAAACACCTGGAGCATATATCAGTCGATACGATGCTATGAAGGGAAGAGGGAGAAGGCGGTATTAACAGCTGGAGAGGGAAAAAGCACGACATCATCATCATAATATCATGGAACGCGACCGTCAGCTGGCGACTTCGACCCTTTTGATCAACCAAGCCAGAAACACTTGTTGCCAAACACGCGTGTGAAAAAACCAGACGACAACCAAAGAAAAGCAGCCAACTTTATCGCAATTTCAGTATCAAAGCTACCGATATCTGCTAAAGAATACAGTACTTTAACTGCAAAATAAAAACAACAGAAAGAATTTAATATTAAATAATAAACTTTCCAAAATTTTTATTATATGTTACCATGAGCCAATGCTTCAAAAATCTCATCTTCCATCTTCAGTAATAAAAATTTTCAAAGAATTTAAAAATAAACGATGCATAGCTCATTAAGAATTACGATAATCACATGCTAAAATATGTGACGTTATTACGGAATACCATAATTTCGAGATAGTGAATTATCAAAAACACACAATAGCAAATTGATCGAAATTAAAATTCGAAAAGAAATACCAGATTTATATAAAAATCCCCCCCACACACACACACTGCAGCGAGGGTTAACTGATTAGAATTACAAATCGTTCTCTTTAAAGCAACATGAAACTGAGGATGAAGATTGCTCGGTAATTAATGATTTTAGCTTGCAGAGACTAAATGATAGAAGAATGAATACGGAAAAGGTTGGAACTGATAGAGTGGCGATTCAAAATTTAAAAAACTGGTTTACTGCCTAAATAAGCGTTAAAATTACTAACTAAATAGTATAACTCTCTAAATAAATATTAAAACTTAGTATAACTCTCTAAATAAATATTAAAACTTAATTTTACCAAGTGGATCGCTGAATTAGCAATAGTTTAGGAAACGGTTCTGGCGAATCTGGGTAATTGGGCTGGGCCTCACCATCAGCCTGATACACAGAAAATTGAGAAATATTTTGCTTGGGAAGCAAAATTTGAAGCCCAAGCCTATGAAATTTCGGTCACTGACCTTCCTATATGGACATGACTAAAGGTAGTCGAAATCTCAGAATTTTTATGCATTCAATCTCGCTTTATATGCGAACATTTTATTGCAGCTTAGACCATGATCTTTTTCGATTAATGTTATTGTAGACGATCCCACGATCCATTTTTCCTCACCAGTCATAATTCGTTTAAAAAAATGGGTCGACAGAATTACGTTAGAAATGCGTATCGCATATATTGCTTTTTGTTTTAAGTGAATTTTTTTCAATTCATACGGAACCCCAATATCGAGCTTCTTAATGAGTCCAAGATATTTTATGTGATTTCCAGTTGTTATGCGCGATACACTTACCTCGTTTGCAATGTTTCGCAGTTATATGGCGATTCGATTTATTTATGGTTTTAATCTTCTCACCATCAACTTCAGAGAACTTCTGACACATGCATTTTGTTAAGCATCAACACCATAAACTTCATATATCTCTTTGTGAGCCTCAGTTGGTTTCTTGCCTTTATGAAATTAAAAAGGAAAATATGCCGAAATTCTTTATTTTTGCAAGCCAGGTTAAAATTGAGAGTAAACTAACAGCTGTAAACAAGAATACGCGGAATTTGTTTTTATAGCAACCTAAGTGTCAGCGGTCAAATCTCACAGAAAAAAATTATGATTAACAAAAGAATAACAAAATGAGCATAACGCTATGTATTATTGCAAACCGAAATTACTTTTTTGCAAGTCCAATACAAGCAAATGGCACAGAGACGTCATTTAATTACAAGAAGACGCCATGGAGAAGTTAAGGTAAGCGAAGCAATTACTAAAAAATTACAAGCACAATTTTAAAATAAAACATTAAATTTAAAAAAAAAATTTTTGGAAAGCGCTTTTTATTGTTGCTATGATTTATTTCACCCATTGAAAATAATATCA